GTTTGACAACTTGGCACCCAAACTTATCGCAAAGGTCTTTTTATCAGACCTAGAAACTAATCAGAAAGTTCAACAAAGCCGCYGAAACTCTAAAAGGTACTAGATCCCTTATTTTATCSTTAGAATTAAAGCTAGGGGARGGTGTCGGCAATTYMGTGMTTTTTYYCTCGTATTGCTYCTTCCTTTGMTAATGCCAAAGTACTTACCATCACAACTAAACGTACCCCAACTGAAATCAGGTGTACAAAGTCTACTTGCAAGACACGGATCGGACGAACAWGGATTCTACATAAGAAACAAAAATGTTACAAATTCTTTACAACAAACAGCACGSCAAACAGTTCTTTGGAGATTTTGGGTTGGAATATTACTAACCTTTATCGGACAGTACTCGAAGCCTTCTTTTGAAACCAAGAACTTGGGTCGCATCCAGTGATCARCAGCACTCAATTCACACGTCCTGRTCTGACCGTCTACTGGRCCCAAGTTGTACGACACGCACTGGCGTTCAGAGAAACATCTACTTTGACATAACTCTAATCCGGGAACTAAGACTTCGAGGGACTTGATCACGTGACCTGTCAGAGTTTTGTTTTTGATGCAGGGGAGATAGGCAAACTCTTTACAGCCATCCTTAGCTGAGTATTTAGTGAAATGAATTTAGAATATCAGGCTAATGAAAATTTAATATAATATCATTAAAAAATGACTACTGGAAGCTTTGAAAACCTTGATTTACAGCGGAAATCGTTGCATCGCGACCTCTTTGTTTTGAAGTTTGTCTGGAATTTGTTCTTTCTTTCAATCTGAGGGGCGGAGCTTTTCGAAAACTCGTTCAAATCATTGGCTGATTAGTATCAAGCTCCGCCCCCCAGTCGCAGAAAAACCTAAATCCCAACTATTTCCATCGAACATGAAGTAGAAGTCGCGATGCAACGGTTTCTGCTGTAAAGCTTAAAGTGCCTATGTCGCCTGGCACAATAATTTCTGATTTTCTGTGAACCGATTTTATACAAAAAAGTAAATATTTGAATGGCAAAATATTCCTTCTTTTCAGTGTTGCGTCTTTGAGTTAATTAATAAGGTTCAATCGTACAGTATGTCGAATGACAATGACGTCAAGGAAAGCTTCAATGATGTGCGAGAACCTGTTGTATTGGAATTATGGCCAAATCAACAATAAAAATATTAAAAAAACTATTTCGTGAACTAATATAAAAAACACTGAAAATTCAGTGAACTCTTTTGAAGTCTATTTGCACTGGCGATTTTTGTAGGGAGGATTTTGATCTTGGAGAACAAAGAATTAACAAGTACACTGAGATAAGCTATAGCTAAACGTCTACTCAGAAGGATGAGACAAAATCTGTTATTTATATTTT